TGAGGTATGGGTCCTGTTTCATTTTTTTGCAGATGGATATCCAGTTTTGCCAGCACCATTTGTTAAAAAGACTGTCTTTTCCCCATCTGATAGACTTTGGGCCCTTGTCGAAGATCAGGTGACCATAGGTGGATGGATTTACATCTGGGTTCTCAATTTCATTGTAGTTTTGATTTGCATTTCTCTAATGGGTAGTGATCCCGAGCATTTCCTCATGTGTCTGTTAGCCACTTGAATGTTGCCTTTGGTGAAGTGTCTGTTTATTTCTTTTGCTCATGTTTTAAATGGGTTATTTGTCTTTCTGTTGTAGAAGTGTTGGATTTCCCTGTAGATGTTAGAGATTAGACCTTTGTCAGATTTGTAATAGCCAAAATTTTTTTCCTAGTCTGTAGGTTCTCTTTTTACTTTGCTGGTGAAGTCTTTTGATGAGCGTAAGTTTTTAATTTTTAGAAGATCCCAGTTATCTAGCTTATCCTCTGGAGTTTGTATGTTGTTAGTTATGGTTTGTATCCTGTTAAGGCTGTGTATTAGGGCCTCTAGCATTGATCCTATTTTTTCTTCTCTGATCTTTATAGTTTTTGGTTTTATATTTAGGTCTTTGATCCATTTTGAATTAGTTTTTGTGTATGGTGTGACGTATGGGTCCTGTTTCATTTTTTTTGCAGATGGGCATACACTTTTGCCAGCACCATTTGTTAAAGACTTGTCTTCTCCCCATTTGATGGACTTTGGGACCTTGTCAAAGATCAGGTGACCGTAGGTGGATGGATTTACATCTGGGTTCTCGATTCTGTTCCGTTGGTCAATGTATCTGTTGTTGTACCAGTACCAGGCAGTTTTGACTAACGTAGCTGTATGGTAGGTTCTGAGGTCAAGTAGTGGGAGTCTTCCTACTTTATTCTTCTTCAGTAGGGCTTTACTTATCTGGGGCCTCTTCCCTTTCCATATAAAGTTAATGATTAGTTTTTCCATCTCTCCAAAGAATGTTGTTGGTATTTGGATCAGGATTGCATTGTATTTGTATATTGCTTTGGGTAGAATTGTCATTTTCACAATGTTGAGTCTACCTATCCATGAGCATGGTATGTTTTCCCATTTATGTAGATCTCTTTTGGTTTCTTGTTGTAGTGTTTTGTAGATTTCTTTGTATAGGTCTTTTACATCCCTGGTTAGATTTATTCCTAAGTATTTTATTTTTTTAGGGGCTATTATAAATGGTATTGTTTTCCTTTTCGTCATTCTCTTTATTGGTGTATAGGAATCGAACTGATTTTTGTATGTTTATCTTGTATCCTGCTACTCTGCTGAATCTTTCTATTAGTTCCAGTAGTTTTCTCGTGGAGACTTCTGGGTTTTCTATGTATAGTATTGTACCATCGCAAATAAGGACAGTTTAACTTCTTCATTACCGATTTGGATGCCCTTTCTTTTTCTTGCCTTATTGCTCTACTAGGACTTCCAGCACAATGTTAAATAGGAGTGGTGATAAAAGGCATCCTTGTCTTGTTCCTTTGCTCAGCGGGAACGTTTTCAGCCTCTCTCCATAAAGAATGATGTTGGGTGTTGGTTTTGTATAGATGCCCTTTATTATGTGGAGGAATTTCCCTTTTATACCTATTTTAATTGAGAGCTTTTATCAAGAATGTGTGTTGGACTTTGTCGAATGCCTTTTCTGTGTTGATTGAGATGATCATGTGATTCCTTTATTTATGTGGTGGATTACATTGATTGATTTTCTAATGTTGAACCATCCTTGCATGCCTGGTATGAATCCTCCTTGGTCGTGGTGTATTATTTTTTTGATATGATGCTGAATTAATTCTACTGGCAAGTATTTTGTTGAGAATTTTGGCATCTATATTCATGAGAGATACTTGGTCTGTAATTTTCTTTTTTTGTGGTGTCTTTGCCTGGTTTCAGTGTCAGGGTTATGCTGGCTTCATAGAATGAATTTGGAAGTGTCCCTTCCTTTTCTGTGTTCTGAAATAGTTTGAGTAGTACTGGAGTAAACTGTTGTCTGAATGTTTGATAGCTGTCTGGGCCAGGGCTTTTTTTTAAATTTTATTTTCAGTCTCTTCTCTTGTTATGGGTCTGTTCATATTTTCAACATCATTTTGTGTTAGTTTGGGTAGGTAGTGTGTTCCTAGAAATTGTCCATTTCATCTAGGTTTTCAAATTTGCTGGAGTATAGTTTTTCATAATACTCTGTTATGATCCTTTTTATTTCTGGTGGGTCTGTTGTAATGTCCACCATTTCATTTCTTAATTGGATTATTTGCATCCTTTCCTGTTTTTCTTCTGTCAGTTTGGCCAGTGGTTTGTCAATTTTGTTGACCCTTTCAAAGAATGAACTTGGTTTTGTTGTTTTTTCTGTTCTCAGTTTCATTTATTTCTGCTCTGATCTTTATTATTTCCTTTCTTTTGGTGGCTTTGGGCTTCTTTTGCTCTTCTCTTTCTATTTGTTTGAGTTGTATAGCTGATGTTTTGATTTTGCCCCTTCTTTTTTGATGTGTGCATCTATTGCTATAAAGTGACCTCTGAGCACTGCCTTTGCTGTGTTGCAAAGATTTTGGTATGATGTATAAAACAAGTATTTTTAATGCACTTCAAATTGTGGTTAAGTTTGAAGAGAAGGCTAAGAAATAACTTACTATTTAAATAGAACCTTGTTCAATTATATGATAGTGCTATTATGAAGACACTGTTTTTCTATAGTATAAAACAAAAGTAATTGAGCTTAAACTGCAGTTGAGAGGGTTTCAATAGGAACAGGAGAGGATGATGATACACATTGCAGTAGACTTGCAGAAGGAGTTGACAAATCTTGGCTAGGCGCTTGTGACGTGTTGTGCTTGAAGAGCCCTGGCTGATGGCGACCTGTGCCCAGGTGTGCCTGGTCGTGCCTTCCTCCTGGCTTCCTCAGGGTTGTCCTTGGGCTTGAAGTAGCTGCTGTTGGAGTGCCTGCCCCTGCTTGCCAGGCTGTGTCTTACTCTTGTGCTGCCACTGGCTTTAGCACAGAAGTGCCACAGGCTTTGTATTGCTGCTTCGGAGGCTGATGCATCTGCTGCTGTTTCCTTTTCACTACATACCTGCACAGCACCAACTGTTCAGAATGGCTTAGGAGTTTACCTGAACCAGGCTAGGTAACCTCTTGACCCAGTAGCCATGAAAACAGTACATTTTCAGAGTTATAAAGATGAAAACTTTAATTTGGTCACATAAGCGAAAAAATAAAAGTAATGTGAATTTTTTCTCTCAAACAGGTTTGACCCAAAGCTGGTCAAGTGACCTGAATTTCGCCTATAATTAGGTCTCAATTTTATTTTTATTTATTTATCTTATTGTACTTTAGATGAAGGTTTACAAAACAAACTAGCGTCTCATTAAACAATTAGTACACATATTGTTTTGTGACATTGGTTACCAATACCATGACATGTCAACACTCTCTAGGTCTGAATTTTAAATCTTACTTTCCATGACTGGTTTGTTTGTGGGATGAGGAGGTAGCCCTGGTGGGAGCAACAGTAACATTTACCCTCAATGGAGTTCTGTGTTACAACGGCCTGGCTAATCCTTAGTGTGTTCTTCACCCAGGTGTAAGCACGAAGGATGCGGAAAACACTTCGTGTCACCCAGCAGGTTAAAACGACACGAGAAGGTCCATGAGGGTATGTCTTTCATGATGCTCACTTTGAGTAAAACACTTGCAGTACAGGATATTTAATTCTTTGATTATGGTACTTTCTGTTCTATTCCTTGATCATACTGAGAAAATCTAAATTATATAGGAGAAAGAAGGTTAAAATTGGGCAGAGAGGGGATACCATTCTGCTTATTCAGAGCTTGTACTGTGTTTTTATGCAAATAATGCGCACCTTCTATGTTTGTGTGCCAGCTGCACCCTCCACCTGCAGGTATTTTCATACACAACACTATGCCAAATTTTTTTTTACATGTTGCTGTAAAAAAATTAGTATATTGTGCTGATGAAAGTACCTGGGGGTTGGGGAGGCTGGTTGTATTCCAGTTTCCCAAGATGTAGAATATATGGGATATTTTTACAAGAGACTAGTAGCTGTGAGGCAGCCTCATTCCTTTTAGTTTCTACCCAGCATTTAGTTGGGTGAAACACAGCCTGGCTGTTGTAAACCAAAAAAAAACCAAACCTGTTGCCATCGAGTTGATTCCGACTCATATAGCGACCCTATAGGACAGAGTAGAACTGCCCCATAGGGTTTTCTAGGCTGTCAACTTTATGGAAGCAGACTGCTACATTTTCTCCCATGGAGCAGCTGGTAGTTTCAAACTGCCTACCTTTAGGTTGGCAGCTGAGCAGTTAACCACTGTGCCACCAGGGTTCCCACCTAGCTGTTACAGCAACTGATTAATCCAATTCTAGTGCTTTGCTTAACTAGTATAGGGTGCCTTTTCAAAGTCTATCTTGTTCACGGTGTTTTCTCTGGGTTCCTCTAGTTTTTCCTCCTTAGCTATACTCTAGTCTGTTTTGCAGTATGAAACTTAAAAGATGGCGAGACTAGTGGAAACCAGCTGTGGGCACGGTGCCTTCTGGGGTTGATGGCCAAGGACAAAGGACGGATAACACTTTTTCTGTTGAAAAAAAGAGGCACGTAGAAAGCAGGCAGGGAATGGGAACAGTGAGATATGGGGCAGCTGGGGAGTCTGTTCACGGTGTACCCAACTTAGAACCAAGGAGGGGATGTGTCCACCTGGTGGCCCTGCTGAAGGTGGGACCCTGCTGGCACCTTGCCGTGCCATTGCTTATCCTACTGTAACACAAACCTTTGTTTATATTTCCAACTCTTGAGACTGACAAGGGAGCCCGGTGGCACAGTGGTTAAGCGCTCCACTGCTAACTAAAAGGTCAGTGGTTCTAACCCACTAGCCGCTCTGCAGGAGAAGGATGCAGCAGTCTGCTTCCATAAAGATTATAGCCTTGGAAACCCTACAGGGTCGCTATGAGTTGGAATCGGCTTGACGGCAACAGGTTACGAGTTTTCTTGACATGGACGGAATACAGTACATTTGGGAGATAGGAGAAACAATCTATATAGCCATGTAAGTTTCCTTTCTGAGTCAGTGTTTACACTGAGTATTCACAACAGGCAATGCACCAATTTTTTTCTAAACATCTTATGTTTTTTAAAAAATAGGCTACATATGTCAAAAGGGATGTTGCTTTGTGGCAAAAACATGGACGGAGCTTCTGAAACATGTGAGAGAAACGCATAAAGGTAAGGCAGATAACGAATGGCATGACATAAACATTTGCCCCTACAGAACTGATTTAGTAAAGAGAAAAATCTTAAATATGTGCTTTAACACCTGAAGAATGTAACCAGTGTCACTGAATTGTACATGCAGAAATTGTTGAAGGAGTGTGTCTTTTGCTGTGTATGTTTTTACCAAAAAAATAATAATAAATACGTGCTTTGTAATGAAAGCGTTTCTATTATGTTTTGTTTCTGTGCTGTTTTGTAAGGTACTGGGTGCTGAAGGGAAACCCTGGTGGTGTAGTGGTTAAGAGCTTGGCTGCTAACCAAAAGGTCGGCAGTTCAAATCCACCACGCGCTCCTTTGAAACTCTATGGGGCAGTTCTGCTCTGTCCTATAGGGTCACTATGAGTCAGAACCAACTTGACAGCAATGGGTTTGGTTTTTGGTTTTGGGTGCTGAAGCCTTAGGCCCCGAGGTAGGTGTGCCAGTCTGTCTGCTGTTTGACAGATGAGGAGGAGGGCTGTGTGGCCCCAAGTTAGGGAAGAGCTGCACCAGGTCTCATTTTTGAAGGCTCTGCCAAATCTTTAGTAAGGAAGTTCTGTGAGCAGCTGGGAAGTAGTGCCATACGCACTGGCATCGGAAGACCAGGAAGTACCTGGTCTGTTTCCTTCTCTTCAGCAGCTGAGATCCCCTGCTCGCCTGCAGCTAAGCAGTGACTTCATGGAATGTTAAGAACCTGGGGGAATTGAGTTAATCGATGCTAGGGTGACCATTAGGGTTTCTCTGAAATTCCTTTGACTTGTGTATGGTTGTATGGCTTTAGGTACTGACTGTTATGTATTTATTTTTTTCCTATATGGGAATATCTGGGGAAACCGGTTAAATTTGTTTACCACCAGAGGAAGTCAGGTGTGAAGTATGCCGGAAAACATTCAAACGCAAGGATTATCTTAAGCAACACAGAAGAATGCACGCCCCAGAAAGGCATGTGTGTCGATGTCCGAGGGGAGGCTGTGGAAGAACATACACTACCGTGTTTAACCTCCAGAGCCACATCCTCTCTTTCCATGAGGAAAAGCGCCCATTTGTGTGTGAACACGCTGGCTGTGGCAAAGCGTTTGCAATGAAAGTAAGTGCTCATCTTCACGTGCTGTCCGTCCTTAGGTCTGTGGTTTAAAACTGGGACTCTGGGTTCCAAGATGGTGTCCCAGTGACTGCCAGTGGGGAAAGCTGGGTCAGCAGGGCTCTAGGCCTTCCAGTCTTGCTTTAACCAAGTGGTTCTTCCTGACTAAAGTCTGTAAAACCATCACACTGGCCTGTGCCAGTGGTTCTAAAAATGTGACCCTGGGCTAGTACTGTAGTGAATCAGAAACCCTGGGGTGAAGCCCAGTAATGGTTTAACAAGCCCTCTAGGTGATTCTTACGCTTACTGAATTTGAGAAGCACTGGTGGCATAGTGGTTAAGAGTTCAGCTGCTAAAAGATCAGAAGTTGGAATCCACCAGTCACTCCTTGGAAATCCTATGGGGCCTTTCTACCGTCCTACAGCGTTGCTGAGTCGGAATTGACTTGATGGCAGTGGGTTTGGTTTGGCTTATGGTTTCACTATTACTCATACGAGTGTGCTGCTACTTCAGGTTTCCTTTTAGAATGCCATCCCCTAGGGATTAAGCAGGGAAGTACGGGCAGCCAGGTGAGGGACTGTAGAACTTTGGGAATCTAGTCCACGTTTAGCTTGGTTCACAGTCAGGTAAGAACTAAATGGAGGTCACTATGCGATTTTACAAACTCACTCATTGGTTAGTGAGCTTTCAGATACTTGCTGTGAGTTACTAAGACTGAAGGGAGAGATGACGCTGGCTCAGCACAGGTCCCAACCATTGCCAGACACGTTGGAGCTGACAGTGGGCCAGCATTATCATCAAGACAGCAAGATGATGGTCAGGTTTTCACTGGTGTTTAGGAACACTGTTTAGATAGATTAAATTAAAACAGTCTTCCCGAGCTTGGAGTGGTTTGTTCAGAGCTGGTGTTTCCCCCCATTTTATGAAAGAAGTAAGAAGCCATAGGTGGTTGGGATTGTAGACATTCCTAATGTGGGTCCTTGGGAATCCTGAGGGACAGTGATTTCAGTCAGGACTCAGGATGAGGTGGAATCCCTCAACAGCATATAACAGACAGTAACTCGTGGAGTTTTCAGGGTAATAAGCACCAAGTGTAGATGTTTTAAAAACAGAACTTTTTTCTTTCTCCTTCATTGCAGCAAAGTCTCACTAGGCATGCTGTTGTACATGATCCTGACAGGAAGAAAATGAAGATCAAAGTAAGTTGAAACTGCTTAGGCAAGCTGTAATTCGCACTGCAACATAAATTGCTTCTGCCAGATGCAGTCTGTTTAGAATATTTTCAACCACCTCTCATGATGTGAATCTACAAATTGATCAAATGGACTTCACTTTTCTATAAAGGAGTTCTACCTGTCACGGCATACAAATACTGTAAAGTAACTTCACGATAACCTTGATTTTGAATTCTAATTGTTTACTATTTTTCTTATTTCCCAAAGGTAAAACCATCTCGTGAAAAACGGAGTTTGGCCTCTCACCTCAGTGGATATATCCCTCCTAAAAAGAAGCAAGAACAAGGTGTATCTTTGCCTAAAAATGGAGAGTCGCTGAACTGCATAGAAAGAAAAGTGCTCTCCACGGTTGCAGTCCTTACCCTCAGCTAAAGATCAGGTTGCCCTTTATAAAGGACAGACCAGTGAACTTGGTTTTGTGTTTTGTCTCAGAAGCACATTTATCTTTATTAAAATCACTGGTGCAGAACATCTGGTGGTCTGTCATTTCTATTTTCTTTGTTCAGAATGTCTCCTTTCTGGGTCTTCTGGGCTTCTCTATACATGTTCTCTTCCTTTGTGCTCAAATGGCGAAGAACACACATTACAGCTCTTCCTCCTTTAACGGCCTGGGGCTTAGATGAGAAGGTAGCTATTCCAGGCATGGTCTGGAGTATTTGGTTAAATATCGCCTCCTAAAAAAGGAAAACAGCCAAAAGATTAATAAAAATCAATGTCTTCCATGCTTTTTAACGTTAACACTCGAACACTCTTAAAAACCAGCTTTCTTGAATTGCTTTTTAAGTGATTAGCTAATCGATTCATACATATCTGGTTGATTAAACGTATACAATAACCAAGCAGTTACACAAATTCCACGTAACTAAACTAATGCACTGAAGGCCGGACAGTCTTAAATCCACAGCGTCCTGTCACTGAGAAGGGCTAGGTTTTGCCCCAGACTATGCTCTTGCAAAAACAAATATAAAGCAGTGGGTTTAATGGCAAAGCACTTCCTTATCCCCAAAACTGTCAGCCCAGTGCAGTTCTCAACCCTATGAGTTAGCAGCACTCAGGGTGCTTTAAAAAAACACAGATCCCTGGGTTTGGCCTAGGTAATTCTAACACAGCACCAGGGTTGAAAACCACTGGCCTAATGCTACCTTTTAGTTGGCAATAAAAGTTATCTAACTCTAAAAGCAAAACAGATATTCCATAAACTTATCCTGGATTGTAAACTGACAAGACACTTTCTAGAAAACTCTCACAGGCATATATAAGGAGGAAACTTAAAATAGAAATGAAATGGTTTCTAGTTTTTCTATTTAAGTGTTAGATTTGTAAAATAGTATCTAACCTTTAAATTATAAAGTAGAATGTTTTCACATGGAAATATATGCTATAATGAAAAAAGTAATGTATCTACAGTATGCTTGCATTTTGAAAAACAAATCTGAAAGCTAATATTATCCTTGGATAGTAGAATTAATTACTAGTCACTTTTTTTTTGACTTTTTAAGTTTTCCACAGATTCTCCCCAACTGTATTTGGAGATCAGAAAAACCAACCAACCACTTACATTTGCTTTTACTTACCATTTTATTTTCTGGGTCTTCTACATTCTTCCCTTTCTTTATAGTAATTTGAACTTGATAATTTTTCTCAATCCACTGCTGAATCTGTTTACTCTTTGTGTCCAAATCATGTTGTCCAATATTTGAAGAAAAAGTCAGTTCCTTTGTCAGAGTCGGTCCTAGTTTGAAACAGTTAAACTTGGTGCTAGGACTATTTACTAATCCATATAAAACCTAAACTTTGCCACATCAAACCCACTGCTGTCGAATCAATTCCAACTCATAGTGACCCCATATGACAGAGTAGAACTGACCCATAGGGTTTCCAAGGCTATAATCTTTATGGAAGCAGAGTGCCACATCTTCCTCCTGCAGAGCAGCTGGTGGGTTCGAATCACCAACCTTTCGGTTAGCAGCCGAGAGCTTAACCACTGGGCCACCAGGGTTCCTTACCTCACCACACAGACTTCATGAAATCTTAGGTTGCAACAGGGGCCTGACCATCCCCTCATCTGACTTTGTGTCACAGACCAGCAAACACTTTAAAACGGGAAACTACACATAAAGCTACTATTTTTTACCTGCCAAGATTTAAAAACCTGAAATACTTTATCATTTGATAAAACAATGGTACTTTAAAAGGAACAAGTTTATACCTTTGTGATAAAATTAATTATCCTTGTTTTTCTTTGTGATACGGGTCAGCATCTGGGAAATACTAATCCAATGCCTTTTCTGATGTTCTAGCTACTAAAGGGTCATCCCAACCATCAAACACAGGTGAGCACCCTCCCCACTGCGTTTGTTAGCACTGTCTGTGGAAATCCTGTTAGAAAATTATTTTACAGGCAAGGAATGGATTACTCAAAGGTGTTGGGACAACTGAGAGTTTTCATATGGGGGAAAAATGTTGGATCTCGACCCAATACAAAAATCTCCCCAGATGGACTTAATGTGAAACTATAGAATTTTAAACCAACAGATGAAAGAGTATGTGACCTCAGGATAGGGAAAGGATTTCATTAAGAAAAAGGCTGATAATTCTCCCATATCAAATTTAAAACACTACTGGGTAACAGGAGCCCCACTGGTGTGACGGTTAGGCGCTCGACTGCTAACTGAAAGGTCGGTAGGTCAAACCCTCTAGCCACTCCACGGAGAAAGATGTGGCAATCTGCTTCCGTAAAGATTTACAGCTTTGGAAACCCTATGGGGCAGTTCGACTCTGTCCTATAGGGTCCTTGATCAGTTGGAATCAACTCAACCGCAACAAGTAGTTAAGTGCTCGGTTGCTAACCAAATGGTTGGTGGTTTGAGCCCACCAGCTGCCCCCTGGGAGAAAAACCTGGCTATCTACTCCCATAAAGATTACAGCTTAGAAAACCCTATAGGGTAGTACTACTCTGTCCTATAGGATCGCTATGAGTCAGAACTGACTCGAAGCCAATAGGGCACAAAGTGAAAAATCTAACTCGGAGAAGGTTTTTACATCATACAGAGCAGAGAATCCTAAAAATCAGGAAGAAAAGTAAACCTCCTAAATAGAAAAGTAAACGAATAATAATAGGCAACTAGGCAACTCAAATGGTGAAAGGAAATAAGTTACTAAGATGTGCTTTCTCCCTCATTAACATGACAGATCAAACAGCACTAAGTAAGGTGAGGCTACAGGGAGAGCAATTTCACCCCCCGTGGATGGGAGCAGAAGAGCAATGTGTCCCAGCAATTCCACGTCTACATTCAGAGCCTGAAGTTGCACAAGGAGACACAGATATGCTCTTGTTCACTGGGAGCCACCCCAGTGTCCATGGAGATGGGTAAATATTCATATGATGAAATGTCATGTGGTAATTATAATACAACTATAATAGGAAGAAGCCCTGGTGGCACAACAGTTAAAGTGCTCAGCTGCTAACCAAAAGGTGGGTGGTTCCAACTCACCAGCGGCTACAAGGGAGAAAGACCTGGTGATCTGCTTCCATAAAAAGTACAACCTAGGAAACCCTATGGGGCAGTTCTACCCTGTCCTACAGGGTTGCTATGAGTTGGAATCAATTTAATGGCAATGAGTATTACAGAAACATTGTTACAAATTATGTTAAAAAGTATGCTGAAAATAGGCATACCATTTATTTTTACATGTACAAAATACTATATACTGTTTATGAATGTTATCTATATGTAACTGGAGTTTAAAACATGGACTGGATATTTACACTACATACATGAGAATGAGCAGGAACACTTCTGAGGAGGGAGAATGGGACTGGAGAAGAGAGCTTGTTGTGTGCCATCAAGTCGATTTTGACCCATAGCAACCCCATGTAACCGAGTAGAATTGCCCCATACGGTTCCCTAGGCTGTAATTTTTACAGGAGCAGATTGTCAGGTCTTTTCTCCCACGGAGCTGCTGACCTTTTGGTTAACAGCCAAGCGCTCAATCAACTCTTCTGTAATGTTTTATTTTGTTTAAAAAATCTCAAGTATGACAATGTTAACATTTGTTCATTTTGAGTGGTGGGTAATTGGTGTTTGTTATATTTTTCTGTATGCGTTAAAATTTTTCAAGATAAAAATAGTTTTTTTTTTTTTTTTTTTTTTAGAAAATTACTTTTCTGTATGCCTTAAGCTTCATCATTTTTTTTTTTTTTTTTTTTTACAAAAAGAGTTCTTTTATTAACACTTTCATGGTTCCTTGGAGCTCCTGCCAAGTTGGTCCTAGTTCTACATGAGAACAAAGTCATGCCTTTACCACTTTTTTAATGAAATAGTTTGATGTCCTTAACACCCTTGTAGGTCTCTTCTGAATAATTTCTTCAGCCAACATCCTTGTTACACGTGCATTACAAAGCCACACCACAGTGACGGGTGGTGTTCCCAAGGTGCAGGCCTCACCTCAGCGGCACTCTGACTCGGCTCCAGTGTGCCTGCCCCTAAGTAATCCTTCCTGATGGTCAGCACTGACCAGTAACCATAAAAAACAACAATCTTCGCCTGATAGTCAGCCCATGGCTTCGGTAGGGGTTAAATGCCAAGTTTTTTGTAAGGTGATGGGCAAAATGTGTTTGAGTGTCACTACTATTTTAACAAATGCTAGGGGCATGAGAGGTGCTCTCTGAATCATTTCCAGTTTAGTAAGTACTTCCATATAATGAGCCAAACATCCCCACTTAAAGATGAGGGGGAACAAAAGGAGGGTGCTTAAATCAGTGGCCCGGGGTAGGACAAATCTCAAGGCTCTGGCATCGTTTCACTACACCTGTCAGCTACTCTAAGGAGCCCTGGTGGCGCAGTGGTTAAGCGGCTGGCTGCTGACCAGAAGGTAGGCAGTTTGAACCCATGAGGCGCTCTGCGGGAGAAAGACGTGGCAGTCTGCTTCTGTAAAGATTAAGCCAAAAAACCAAACCCACTGCTGTCAAGTAGATTCTGACTCATAATGACCCCACAGGACAGAGCAGAACCGCCCCATAGGGTGTCCAAGGCTGTAATCTTCATGGAAGCCAACTGCCATGTCTCTCCCACAGAGGGGCTGGTCGGTTTGAACTGCCAACCTTTCAGCTAGCATCTGAGCACTTAACCACTGCGCCACTAGGACTCCTCCATAAAGATTACAGCCTAGGAAACACTATGGGGCAGTTCTAGTCTATCCTATAGGGTTGCTGAGTTGGAATCTACTCGATGGCAACGGGCAGGGTCAGCTACTCTGCCCCCTAAGAGGTTAGGAAACCAAGGGGGAAAATATTAATATCATCTTGGTCGTGTTCACCTTGTTTCTCCCTTATTTTACACAGATTTAAAGGAAGAGATGGTAGATGCAGAGTATGAAGGAAAGACAGAAGAAAGGAGGAATGGAAATGAGATGAGGAAATTTTTAAAAAGGCACTGGAAATGGTGGTGGAACCATGGATGGTGTCCATTTCCCAGTTTCTCACTTCCCCAGGTCACAGGGAACCTTGGCCAATGCCAGAATTCAGACTGCTGATTAGTCGTCCTAAAGAGTTCAGGGAGTGAACAGCAAAACACCTACGTGTCTTAGGTTTGGCCTTGTCCTGCTCTCTGAGTCTCATTCGCTCTTCGTGAATCTGAAGTCCCGTCATGAGCTGGTATACAGGAGGCTCTGTGCAGGCGTTCCTTTTAACGAGCTTCAGGTCTCGCTTGTCCACGAGTTTAATCACATCTGCCCGGTGCATGCTCCCCAAGTCATTGCCCTTCTCATCAAATACCTGAATGATTCGCTCACTAATTTTTCTACCAGTGCTAGTAAGAGCTGTTTCAGTCTTTTTCTTCTTGTTTTTCTTATCCTGGGCATCTTCAGCCACACTGAACGCTTTTGCATGAATGAGAGAGGGCAGTCTCGGGACTGAAACAGTAACAGACAACTGTGCTGGCGCTGTCTTTTGCAGAAAGTGTTTCTCCAAACATCTTGCAATGCAGTTATTTTCAGTCTTTATCGCTTGCAGTGTTAACCTCCTCAGGAACAGAGCAGCCATTCTAAGGAAGCAGGGAGAAAAGCCCATTACAATTCAATCATTTACTCCTGTGGCCTGAGCCTGTGGTACATGGCAGGGTGTGTGCGGCCCTAGGGGCTGTCACCTGTGAATGTTCAGGAATGTTGGTCTCCAGAGGAGGAAATGTGCACCTGACCCTGGCCACACTAAGTCATGGCAGGACTATCATACAGGCAGTCAACCCTACCTGCACAGTGCTTGGCTTTTCGGTTTTTCCTCCCATGCACTATCTCACTTTATCATAATTTTCCATGGATCTTGCAGTGTCAGCTCCAAGAACAAATATCATCTGAAGGGTTTATTTATGACAGTGCAGTACAGAAAATCCTCAGTGACTCATAAACATCAATTTACAAACTTCTAATGTAATTAACAGCTACCAATTTATCAATATATCTGATGGCATACAAAAGATGAGAGCACTATTATGGGAAAAGGGGCTCTCTGTGAAGGCAGCGCATCCACTGAAGAACGAATCTAGACCATCAGGAAGGAAACACCCTGGCCGAGAACCAAGTGCTGACTCAGCAACCATAAAGAACACTCACAAGGGCAGTAAGGTGGTGGCACCAAACCCGGACCAAGCACTTGGGCACGTACGGCAATGCTGGTTTTACTTCAGGGTTACAAGTGCTGTGGTTCTAAGTGGCGTTCTGAGTTTTTAATTGTTTCTCCACCACAGTGAGGGTCTCTCTCCTGCCATCCACGTATCTGGTCCACCTCAGAAGCACAAGCTGAAGAGAGCTTGAGAGGGCCCGCTCATCTAGTAGTTTGCTGAGAAACCTGAGAGAATCAAGGACACAGAGAGGTGGGGTTTGTCAAAAACCAAAGAAGAGAGGAGGAGGTGCCCGAAGTAGTGCTTTTCAAAGAACGGTCCCTGCACCACGTGCATGACAATCACCTGGGGCGTTTGTTAAAAATGAGAATTCCTGGACTAGCCCCAGACTAGAGATGAAGTCAGAATCTTCAGATGTGAGCACCAATGCACAGTCAACAGGAAAAGATTATAAAGGCAACTTTGAACAGATTAAGGGTTCTCAATTTAGGGAAATATGCAGTAACCCTGGTGGCGTAATGGTTAAAAGTTCAGCTGCTAACCAGAAGGTCAGCAGTTTGAATCCACCAGGTGCTCCTTGGAAACCCTATGGGGCAGTTCTACTCGGTCCTATGGGGTCACTATGAGTCGGTTCCGGCAATGGGTTTGGTTTTTTTGGTGGTACAGTAAAACCTGCAAAAGCCAGAACCTGTGTAAGGCAGAAACCTATCAGAGAAGGAAAACTCAAATATTTTCCACTAAAACAAGCGATAGAAATGTGTTAAGACTGCACCCTGTCAAAGGTGGAAAACTTGTGAGACTAGGAAAAACAAGGCACTCCTGTCAAGTTCCAGCTCTCACAGGTTTCACTGTATAAAGATCTGGAGTCAGAGACCGCTGAGTAAAAACTCAGCTCTATGGAATTGACTCAACGGCACACAACAACAACATGGTTTTGGGTAAATCACTCAAACTTTCCGTTCCGTTTCCTCGGCAATAATCATACTTTGCCTAGCAGTGTTGTTATGAGGCTTAAAGAGAAGAATGAAAAATGCCTCACGCATGCCTGGTACTTAATAGACACTCAAGAAATGGTCCTTACATCAAGTTCTTCCGTTTCATATGAGAGGCTGCACAATCATGCGGAAGCCATGGGCAGAAAGAGGAGGTACTAGCAAGGACATCTGGCTAAACAATCCTGTCAATCCTTGTTACAGACATGTGGAGACCTCCCAGGCCACTCTCCTCACGTGCTGGGCACTTAGCACCTGACTCACTGTCTCTCCAGTGCTTCTTCCATCAAAACTCCTGGTGTCTCCAATGTTGTTGGCTGCTGTCAAGTTGGCCTCCAACTCATGGCAACCCCTCGAGTGAAGAATAGAACTGTTCCATGGGCTATTCTTGGCTATGATCTTTATAGACACAGATTGCCAGGCCTTACTTCCATGGTGCTTCTGGGTGGGTTCAAACCACCAACCTTTAGGCTAGTGGTCGAGCACAAACCATTTGCACCTGACCCTGGCCACACTAAGTCATGGTGGGACTATCATGCGGGCAGTCAACCCTACCTGCACAGTGCTTACATGTCAACTTCAAGCATTCTCATCTACCACTCACACCTCCTGTCATGCCAGCTCACTCCCTTTGCTCCCTAACTTTGATCTGACTGGCACCTACAACCCCTGATGCTACCACTTTCACAACCCCTCATATTAATGGGGAACTAACCAAAAAACCCACTGCTGTCGAGTCGATTCCAACTCAAAGACCCTATAGGACAGAGTACAACTGCCCCATAGGGTTTCCAAGGCTGTAAATCTTTATGGAAGTAGACTGCCACATCTTTCTCCCATGGAGCAGCTGGTGGGTACGAACCACTGACCTTTCAGTTAGCAGCCAAAAGCTTAACCACTGTGAACCAGCTTCCTGATATGGGGAAAGAGCATGGTAAGCTGGTAAGAAAGTGATGTTATTGTTAGGTGCCATCAAGTCGGTTTTGATTCATAGCGACCCTATGTACAACAGGGTCCTGTGCCATCCTCACAATCGTTATTATGCTTAAGCTCACTGTTGCAGCCACTGTGTCAATCCATCTCACTGAGAGTCTTCCTCTTTTTCACTGACCCTCTATTTTACCAAGTATGATGTCCTTCTCCAGGGACTGGTCCCTCCTGATAACATGCCCAAAGTATGTTAGAACGAAGTCTCGCCATCCTTGCTTCTAAGGAGCATTCTGGCTGTACTTTTTCCAAGACAGATTTGTTTGTTCTACCGGCAGTCCATGGCATAGTCAATATCTTCACCAACGCCATAATTCAAAGGCATTAATTCACCTTCCTTATTCATTCTCCAGCTTTCACATGCGTATCAGGCGATTGAAAACACCATGGCTTGGGTGAAGTGCATCTTAGTCCACAAAGAGATATCTTTGCTTTTTAACACTTTAAAGAGGTCTTTTGTAGCAGATTTGTCCAGTGCAATAATACATCGTTTGATTTCTTGACTGTTGTTTCCCTTAGTGCTGATTGTGGATCCAAGTTAAATGAAATCCTTGACAACTTCACTCTTTTCTGTTTATCATGATGTTGCTTATTGATCCAGTTGTGAGGATTTTTGTTTTCTTTATGCTGAGGTGTAATCCATACTGAAGGCTATAGTCTTTGCTCTTCATCAGTAAATGCTTCAAGTCCTCTTCACTTTCAGCAAGCAAGGTTGTGTCACTTCCCTCCTTATCCAGCTTGATAACACCCAAATTTCTATTTGGCTCCAATGTCTCCCCTGAATTCCAAACTTGTAGACTTCACTGCCTACCCAAATGTTCCACTTAGTTATCTAACCGCCATCCTAAAGTAAACATGTCCAAAACAGAATTCTTGATCTTCCACCCCAAACTTGTTCCTCCCCCAGTCTTCCCGGCTCATCTAATGGCAACACATCCCTCCTGTTGCTCAGGCCAAACGTATCCAAGTTATCCTTGACTCTTCTTCCCTCAGCAATCCATCGGCAAACCCTACTGTTCAACCTCCAAACCTCTCCCCTTCTCTACTGCTATCACCCTGCTCGAAAAAACACCATCACTCTCACCTGGATTACGGTCACAGACTCTGGTCTCCCTGCTTCCACCCTCGCCTCCCTATAATTTATCACCCACAGAGCACACAGAGCAAGCCTTTCACAACAGCTAAGTCAGAACAAGTTCCTCTTCTGCTCACAACCCCCCACTGGCTCCCATCTCACCAGAGTAAAAGCAAAGCCCATGGGATAGCCCACAATTTCCTACATGTTGTGGCCCCTACCAACCTCTCTGCCCACATCTCCCATCATGCTTCCTCACTGGCCTCCTTGCTGCCCCCTTGCAAACGCTAAAGATGCCCTGTTCTGGGTCTTTGCACCCAGATGTTCCTCTCCTTGCAACACTCTTCCCCCAGATATCTCCAAGGCTCACTTACTTCAGGTCTTGAATCAAATGTTACCTACTCAGGGAGGCCTTCCCTGACCATTTGTTATAAAACAGCACGCCCCATCACTTTCAACCCCATTCATCTTGCCTTTTTAAAAGACAGCATTGCATTTACCACTGCCTGACACATTCTATATTTACTTGCATTTATATTCATATTCTCTCCTCACTAGAATGTAAGCTTCATGAGAAGATGGAATTTGCCCACTGTGTTCACTGCTGTGTTCCCCAAGGCTGGAGTCTAGCTTCTGGCTCAATATACACGGTTGAATGAATGCAGAAGCCAAAGGAAACAGTACAGGCGGTGCGGCGCTGCCTGCTGGCATTTAACTCTAGACCTTCAGCTGCAGCATTCCACACCAATACCAGAAATGCTGGTTAAGCTACACTCCTCACATTTCTAGCAGGCATTTCAAATGTCCACTGGCCTTAGTGAAGGATCTATGACCAGATGTTTCCACCTACAGTGAATGAGATGAATTAATTTTATAGTCATTAACTGGTTGGGGCGCTAGTGGTGCAGTGGTTAAGCGCTCAGCGGCTAAACCAAAAGTTGGCAGTATGAACCCACCAGCCACTCTGTGGGAGAAAGATGTGGCAGTCCGCTTCCCTAAAGACTACAGCCTTGGAAACCCTACTGGACAGTTCTACTCTGTCCTATAGGGTCACCATGAGTTGGAAATGACTTGACTGCAATGGTTTTCTTCTTTTTTTGGGGGGGGAGGTTGTTTAACTGGTTGAGGACTCAGTTATAGATGTAAAGGCTCTAATGTAGGAGAGAACTGGATATTAAATAGCTGAGATAGTGTTTAATAAAAACAGATATTTGTCGGTGGAGGAAACCTCCAAACCGAAAAAGGAGAAAATTCTGAAGAGACCAGAGATTTTTCCCCCTAATCATCAGAAAAATACCAGCATCATCAAGCCCCACAATTCACTAGGTATTCTCTGAGTGTCAAAGTGCTAGATAATACATGGACTAGAAGTTCCTCTTTGTAAGCTCCACGTCTAAAATTAGTGTTTTCTTTCCAAACTGTATCAACAACGATACAGAAGTTGTCATATGCAAAATTCTATTACTAAGTACATATCATTACTTAAATATAATGTACCTCCCCCCCAACCAGCAGTTAGGGATGAAAGTTAATGTACCCTGTTCAGAAAATTATGAACACACTAAAATAGAAAATATTATTTCAAAATATAGGATTTTCTCAAATAAATAACTAAGCAAGCCAGAAAACTAGGCATAGGAAAAAGGTAGAAAGAAATTTATAAAAACCCTGGTTATTTGAAGTTGAGGACACAAGTGATTTTCCCCCCATTAATGCTCAACATGAAATGCTTCCATTATTTATCTTTCCTTTACAGCTCTTAACACGACTATAATTTTGTTATTATCTTATTACTAGAAATCTCCTTCACTAGACCGTAAGCTCTAGAAGCTGGGAAGAAATCTGTAATGTGACTGGCACAGTAAGTAATCGTTGATTTTCCTAATCCCCTTCTAACCTATGTAATTTTCTTGGACTGAGACCTTTTGTAACACGTACTCGTCCCTCTGCGGCTTCTCAACGAAAACATTTACTTCTCTCAACAGCCTCACATCAGGAAGCCTAAGAAATGATAAATAGGAAAAAAGGAAAGCCCATAACCACTTGGAGACCTCCACAGGCAGGCCTCTCCCGGCGGCAGCAGGAACAAGGCGTTAGCCAGCCCCCCAGCTCAGACGCAGGCGGGTGGCCCCATCTTCCCGCTCCGTTGCGGGAACGTGCCTTTCTCCTAGAGCAGGCCCGATCACGTGGTCAGCGGCGTTCACGCCCACCTCCCGGAGGGGCCGCGCGATTCGCGGCGCTCTTCCGCCAGGTAGGGACGTCGGCGTGCGTGCGTGCGTGCGCGTAGGCGGACAGGGATGGCGGGGCGGAAAACAGAAGGTGCTGTCAGACTGGCGCCAGGTCTAGGTGGCGCGGCTATAGGAAGCCGAGGCAGCGGCTTGGGTTCGAAAATGGGGTCACCGCCCGGCCGAACCCCCGCCCCCGCGGCGGGGCCTGTCCGCGCTCCGCCCGGCGGGACGGGGCAACACTGACCTTCCAGGGACGCGGCCGAGGACAGTGCCGCTTCTTCCGCACGCTCGTTCCCTAAGACCACATCCTCCCGCCGCTTGGTCCCCCAACTCCCCTCGCCCCTCGTCTTGAGCGTTACCTGTGTCTGACCAGGTGATTGGTAAGATCTCAGAAGGAGCCGCTAACGGGCTGTGGCGCGAGACCCTTTCGCTTTCCGTAGCGGGCGGGGCTTTGGTCCCGTTTTCTTAAAGGAAAAGTGACGTGGAGAGGAGCGCTTTGGCGGCTGCCGGGATCAATACCTCCGACAAAAACCTCAGAAGGCGAGGGAGGTTCCTGAGGGGAAGTTGCTGCTCACCTGGTTCCCGCCCCTCCAGAGATGAGATGAAGAGAGTAATGTGTTGTCAATTTCTGCAGCATTCAGAGTGTCCATTGCGTCTTTTCCACTAGGGCTTATAGAGAGCTTGCATCAACGTCTTTGGTGTGCCCGCAATAACTGTGAGTTAGGGAGCATTGTCCCTGTTATACAGGTTAGCAAACTGAAACTTGAAAAGTAAAAGGCTTCTTCAGTTCACAGAAGTAATGTGGCAGGCATACCGCTGGACTCCCAACTTCAGAGCTCTTGGTGCGTGCAGGCTTGCCGGAGATAACAGCGACGGAGGCAGGGCGTGCTAGATTCAAGCAGTTTGTAATTGGGAGAGGTTTTAACGGTCAAAAATGTTACAAGGGGAAAGTGGACCCGTATTGCTTAAGTAGCTTGCCTAGAGTCAGAAGAGAGCCAGTTCTAAACCTAGGATCCAGCCGGTGCTCCTGGCTTTTAACCGCGCTTGAGAAAGCCCTGTTTGTCCGTTGGGGCTCACCCCTGGGCCACCAGGCTAGTGAGGGCTGTGCCCCTCAACCACCTGCCCACCTCATCTTTCTTCAGCAGGAAATTCCTCATTGCCAAAATGAAAATCTTCTATCATGACTTGATGAAGATAATTAGGGAATAGCTTTGTTCATCATAAGAAGGGAAACTACCATTTATTGGATACTTGTCCACTGGAACACATTGTTTTACTTCATCCTCAATAAATAGCTCCTTGACTCAGGTATTGCCTCTCTTCTCACAGATGAGAGAACTATGTAGTTCAGCCTTTCATAACGGGTACTTGGAGCTGTGGGTCTCGAAAACTTTATCTTTCGGGAGTTTCGGTGGTACAATTCTTACCTTTCATGCGGGAGACTCAGGTTGGATTTCTAGCCAATGTGCCTCATGCGCAGCCACCGCCACCACCTGTCAGTGGAGGCTTGCATGTTGCTATGATGCTGGACGGGTTTCAGCAGAGCTTTCAGACTAAGATGGACTAGGAAGAAGGGCCTGGCAATCTACTTTTGAAAATCAGCCAGTGAAAACTGGATGGATCACAACAGTTCAATCCACAGCCAATCATGGGGACTGCAGAGGACTGAGCGGTGTTTTGTTCCGTTGTGCGTGGGGTCACTGTGAGTTGGGGGCTGACTCAACGGCAGCTAACAACAATAATTACTGGTAACTGAAGCTGTCTCCTAGCATCCCTTTTGCAGCCCCTTTTCTGCAGGCATGTATTTCCAGAATAGCTGATCTGGACTCATTCATGCCTGCCGTTGTCAGATCCCTCAACAGTGATAAGATGGTTCTGTAGTGTTGCTGGAAGGGGGTGTGCATTGTAGCCATGCCTTCAGAGAGAGAGCAGCTGTTCTTCATCTCTTCTCTTGAACTCTGGCTTGACCTCCAGCCGAAATGTGGCGTGCAGCTTTTAAAGAGTCATTGAGAGCCTGGAGCTCAGCTCGTAATGGTGAGTTTCAAAGACCCTTGAGCAAAGATGCAGAGTAGGCAACTGGCTCTTCAAGGATGCCTTCCTGCACTTGCGGCTTCTACTTCTAATGCACACTTTTTGGTTTTGGGAAGTCATGTTACTATGACACAAATCTTGTGTAAACCAACTGAGTGTGTGCACAGAAGAGGACTCTCAGAAGTGTGCAGAACTTTCCCTATTGTTATTTTTCCTACACGTGAGTTACACACACACAGATGTAACCCATAAGACTGAAATCCTAGTGACTAAAACGTCTGCATTTTCCACCATGGAGTAATTTCCATGTTCTGTGGTTGGTCTGTGAACAATATATTTTCTCACACAATATACATATTGGACCTTTGCCCTGTTTAAGGATTTGTGGAAATATTCTCTCCCTCTCCTTGACTGTTAGCTGCCAAACTCTCCTGTGTCAGACCATTTCTACTGGAGCAGAGGGAGTCTTCAGAAATTACAGCATCATATGAGACACGGGAGACACAATGGTTAATTGCTCAGCTGCTAACCAAAAGATTGGCAGTTCCAACCCACCAGCCACTCTCTGGGAGAAGGACCTGACAATCTGCTTCTGTAAAGATTTATAGCTTTGGAAACCCTATGGGGAAGTTTTACTCTGTCACATGGGGTCACCATGAATTGAAATCAGCTCAGTGACAACAGGTTTGGGTTCACAGGTAAGACACATTTGCTTAGATCGAGGTCATTGAGGTACAATATATTGGTGATTTTTTAGAAAAGTTAGTAACACTAGACTGCGTCTTCATAGTGCCACAAATGGTTGCAGCAATTAATTTTAAAACTCATACTAATCTGAACAGTGTGTTTATATATAGATGCCGGTGGAGCAGTGATTAAGAGCTAAGGTTGGCAGTTTGAATCCACCAGCTACTCCTTGGAAACCCTATGGGGCAGTTCTTCTCTGTCCTGTAGGGTTGCTATGAGTTGGAATCAACTCAACAGCAACGGGTTTGGTTTGGTTTTGGTTTTATAGATGCCTCAAACTCTCTGTGGGTCCATATGTTCAGAACATTCTTCAACAAATAGCTGTTAGTGGATTATAGTTAATTTATATGCCCTCTCTGAAAGGTCAGTGGTTTGAATCCACCAGCCACTCCTTGGAAACCCTGTGGGGCAGTTCTCTGTCCTATAGGGTGGCTGTGAGTTGTAATCGACTCAGTGGTAACAGGTTTGGTGTTTTGGTTTCCTCCATTAGATTCTAAGCTCTCCTAAGGGCTGTTGTTGTCGTTGGGTGCCGTCAGAGGTGTAACTGGGGCATGGCAGGTAGGGCGCGTGCTCTGGACGCTGCTTCAGGAGGGGCGCTAATGAGCAGTTTCTGTTGGCCATTGAAGTTTCCATGACTAGCTGTGAGAGATCATTCAGCAATTTCAAAGTAATTACCATAGCTGTTATGTTCTGTAGATTGGCCCCTGGGTGCCATCGAGTCGTTTTTGACTCATAGCAGCCCCATGTGTTACAGAGTAGAACTGCCCCATACGGGTTTTTTGGCTGTAATCTATGGAAGCAGATTGCCAGGTCTTTTTTCCACAGAGCCACTGAGTGGGTTCAAACTGCCAGCCTTTCAGTCAGCAGCTGAGCACTTAACCATTTGCACCACCAGGGTTCCTCTTATAAGGGCAGTTTTGTTAAAATAGGAGAATTGAATCTGCTATGTGTGAGACCCTACATTAAAGAAAAGACCATTGCCGTCAAGTCGGTTCCAACTCATGACAATCCCATGGGTGACAGAGTGGAACTGCTCCTTAGGGTTTTCTTGGCTGCAGTCTTTGCAGAAGCACATTGCCAGGCCTTTCTTTTGGAGCACCACTGGGTGGGTTCAGACCTCCAACCATTCAGTTAGTAGCCGAGCACAAACCATTTGCGCCACCCAGGGACCTTTGGAGACCCTGTGCAGTACTGACTAAACCTAGCTGGGAGCAGTTGTCTCCAGTGTCAGCCACTGTCTCATTACAGTGACAGTTTAAATCCTTGGTGTTTGCAGATGTGTCAAAAGAAAGCAGGGTATGCAAGGGACTTTGGCTGAGTGTTAGGTAACTAGTCAAAAACCTGAAGAAAGACTTTTAAAAAAACGCCCGGAAAGGAGATTTAGGTCTCCATCAACGCCTGAAAGGACTTGGGGAATCTTTTCCTTTAAGTAACCCAAATCCATCATGTTGCTACTTAAGCTGGTTTCCCCAGTAAAGCTAGAGAACATCTGGTGAGCACATCTGTGTTGTTGTTAGGTGCCATCAAGTCAGTTCCAATTCATAGCAACTGCATGTACAACAGAATGAAATACCACATGGTCCTGCACCATCCTCACAACCGTTGCTATGTTTGAGCCCGCTGTTGGCAGCCACTGTGTCCATCTGTGTAGTTTTTTCGATGACCCTCTATTTTACCAGGCATGATGTCCTTCTCCAGGGATTGATTCCTCCTGATGACATGTCCACAAAAAGTGAGACGAAGTCTTGCCATCCTTGCTTCTAAGGAGCATTCTGGCTATACTTCTTCCAAGACGGATTTGTTCATTCTTCTGGCAGTTCACCGTATGTTCAATACTCTTTGCCAACACCATAACTCAAATGTGTCATTTCTTCTTCAGGCTTCCTTTTTCATTGTCCAACTTGGCACATGCATATGAGGCAATTGAAATATCATGGCTTGGGTCAGGGGTATCTTAGTCCTCAAAGTGATATCTTTGCTTTTTAACACTTTAGAGAGATCTTTTGCAGCAGATTTGCTCAGTGCAATGTGTCATTTGATTTCTTGACTGCTGCTTCCATGGGCGTTGATTGTGGATCCACGTAAAATCCTTGACAACTTCAACCAACCCTTAACACGTCTGTGTTAGAACCCTTCATGTGCTCTTGAACAGCTATTAGATTCAGAAGAAATTTATCATGTTTAAGACTTCCCATAACATTTCAACTCCAGATTAGTCATCTGTCATGTCAAAAGAATGCACCAATGATTAAAACCCAATGATGCCTGGGAATGAGCAGAATAAATTTGTCTAAAATGAGTAACATATTGTAATTTTTTTTTTTTTTAAGATTTCGTGGCTGCCAAATCAAAGAGTATTTGTATATAGAAGTTCCATTTATTTTCTGTGAATGA